GGCTGCAAATCCAGATTTAGGGTGCAAACTCCAGGCAGCGCGTTCGCCTGTCAAACCGACAGAAAGGCCTGGCCCCAGGGGGCCTCCCCCCGCCGGTGTTCCCTCCTCAGGCTCCCTTCAGCGCCTCGGCTCTGTCTGCGCCGTCTTGCTCCGCGTCTGCTTTCTGTCCAGCGGCAGGTTTCCAAAACAAGTTAGTTGGCGAAGTTAGTTCGGCGCCCGAAGCAGCCAGCGTGCGTCTCTGACGCTGGTGGCCAATGTTGTAACGCGGTCCCCTCGCCCCGAGCTCCGCTCCTATCTCCCTGGGCTCGCCTCCTGCCAGGCCTGGCCGCCTTCCAGCGCCTCGTGAAGTTAGTGGGAGCGGCCGGTGCCTGCCACCATGCCAGGTGTTTTCCTTTGCAGCGCTGAGCCCTTAACTGGCAGGTGTTCGGGAAGATAAGACTGAGTGGCTCCCTGGATCTAGGGGCACGTCCTCACTCCTGCGCGCTCACCGGCAGATCTGAGGTAGATCCCCCGTCAGAGAGGATTAAGTAAGTAGCCACGGAGGGCAAGGCGGGCAAAGCAATGAAATACGAGCTTGTGAAGCCTGGGACAAAACACCCTCGGGGGACGGGGCACGTAAATTGTTATGCTCTGCCTGGAATGGGGCAGTTTTTAGTCCCCCTCCTCCTCCCTCCTAAAATAAGGAAGGAGAGTGTGTAAGGGTCTCAGGTCTCTCTTTGGGAGGCGCAGCTGATGGCCGGCATGAGACCCTGCCTAGGGAAGGGGTCGAGTGAGATTTACTTGCACTACTGGCGCGCTCCGGTGTATCGGTGCAGGCGTATTGTGTCTGATCTTACGCCACTGACCCAGTGGGGCGGGGGTTGCTGCTGACTCCAGGCGAGTCAGGACTGAGTCCCTTGAAATCTGGTGATGGAGGGTGCACTAGACCGAGGGACACCAAAAACCAGGCCTTCATCGTGGAGTTTTTGGAACGGTTTACCAGTCAAGAAACTTGCCACTGTTTTAATTTCCGTTCTGTATGCCCCGTGTGTATTGAGAAGGAATGACCTTTCATCCAAAATACAGACATTTCAAATGGCAGTGAAAAGGCCTTCGAGACTTGAGTTTCTGCTGGCTGGGCTTACGTTTCATAACGAAGCAAACTTCTTTTGGTAGGGGTGGGAATCAGGATTCTCCGGGGCCCCTTAATGGAACTGGTGCTACAAGGGGCTGTCACGTGTGCAGTCAGAGAAACGAAGGCTAGCTATTTCCATGAATAACGAGCACATCTGTAGCTGCATTGGGTGGATAAACACCGTTCAGAAGGGGTATTAGCATTTGGGTTTCCTGGCATAAACCAGCCCCATGCTGATGGGAGTAGGAAGAAACTGCCATTGTGGACTTCCCGTTCCTTAATTCTCAACTAGTTTATTTGACTTGGCCCTGAAGCATCCTACGCTGTCAGAGAAAGAACGCCGGATTAGCTCAGCCGTCCGCTGTGGTCCACACTGACAATCCCTGTGTTGTCGGGAGGGTTTGAGAGCCTCCATACGGTGTCAGGTCGTTGGACAGATGGCAGAATCGCTGTGTGAAGTTCCGGGTTTAGGGAGAGCAGACTATCTGATCTTTCTGAACTTCAAATCTCTGACCCTCCAGCCCGCGGCACGTCAGAAAGTCACTCGGTTGCATCTCATGGTTGGAAAGTGGCAGGAAAGTGGGACAATTTTTCTTTTAGGGTGGGGATCAACAATAACCCTTCCTCCCCAAACTGTATCCCACACCAGCCCCTCTGGCTCGCTCCTGCTTCCTGTTTGACTCTGACGGTGTCAGAACTAACTTTAAAATGTTGTGGAGGCAGCAGGAAGCTTTGTGGGAGAAGCCGCAGGAGTCAGAACCATTTGGCTGGGGTATTTATAACTGGCAAGCGATGTGCCCGCGCTTATGAGGAGGAAGCATTTGCCAGCAGGAAAGCTCCTTGGCTCTTTGCAGTGTGAAGTTAGAAACACCCGTTGCTTTTGGGGGAGATTTATTTTTAAGCCATCGCTACCCCCCTTGAAGATTGAGCCTGAAAAGTTTTCAGATTTGGGGGTGGGCTTTCTTCTTTTTTTTTTAACAAGAAAACCGAAAAAGTTTCATGTTCAAAAACTGAAGAGTCACCTGTTTGGGATTTTTTTTCTTAGAAAGCTCAAGCGACAAAACCCCCCTTTTGGGGGGGGGGGGGGAGTTTCCATAAAGAATGTTTGACCAGCTCTAATAAAAGTCTCTAAAGGAGACTGAAACTTTAGTCATCGTTCTGAGGAAATGTCATTCCGAAGCCCCAGTGGGCTGTATGGATCAAAGTGTCATAAATGGGGTAAGAATGGTGAGCGGCGTTTTCTGTTGATCACACCAGCAAATAAGAAGTGTCACTGATGGCAATTAGCAGCTTTTCTCTAGCACCTGAGGATCTCGAAGTGTCTTCACAAATATAAGGTGCTCAGGGAAACTCACATGGCTTAGACCGGTGGTCTCCAGCCTTTTTAAGCATGAGATCACTTTGTGAATTTAAATGCAATCCAGGATCTGCCTCTCCCCCAAACACTCTGGCCCCGCCTCCTTCCCGCCCCTTCTCCAAGGCCCTGCTCACTCCATCCTCCCTCCCTTCCCCATCCTCACTCACTTTTAGCAGACGGGGGCCAGAGGGCTGGGGTACAGGGGAGGGGGATGCGGACTCTGAAAAGATTTGGAGTGTGGGAGGGGCTCTGAGCTGAGCCTGGGGCAGGGAGTTGAGGTGCAGGAGGGGGTTCAGGGTGCTGACTCTGGGAGGGAGTTTGGGTGCAGGGGGACTCAGAGCTGGGTGCAGGAGGAGTTCAGGACTTGGGCCAGGGTTTGGAATGCAGGCTCCAGCTGGGCACTGCTTACCACAGGTGGCTTCCGGGTGGTGGTGCAGGGGGCTAAGGCAGGCTCCCCCCTACTCTGACCCTCACCACTCCCAAAAGCAGCCGGCAAACTCTCTCCATCCCTGTCCCCCCTCCCTGCTCTGTGGAGATGCGGTACAGGGGGGAAGGAGGGGCACCTGACATCAGCAGCCCCTCCACTCCTTCCTGTGCCCCATTGAGAAGGCAGCTGCAAGGCAGAGGGCAGGACCAACAATGCAGTGCTTAGAGGGGCAGATGAAGTGCCGCATTTGACGGGCCAAACCTGTCAGGATCACCTGTCACAGGCTCCAAGATCTGCCAGTAGATCCCGATCGATTGGTTGGTGACCCCTGGCTTAGACTGTGAGTCCCAGATCAGGGACGAGAACCCAGGAGTCCTGCCCCCCCCCCCCCCACCAAGCTTAGGACATGGTTGGCCAGTGTGACGTTCCTCCTTCCACTGCTCCTCCAGGATTCAACTTCTTCCTGGTTTGTTCCCACTCCCTCTGGCTCTTGGTTTTCTTGCGGCACCCCTGCCTGCTCCCCTCTCCTGTTGTGAGCTGTCGGAGGAGCTCCCGCCGTGGGCCAGGTGCTGTCAGCACAAGAAGGGAGACAGAATCCCGGCCCCAAGTTGCTCCCTGGATAAGGTGAATTTTAATTCTGGCCCTGCCCTGCTGGAGTCGGTTTGGGGATCGGTTGGGCGGGCCTGGCCGGCCGTCAGCGCCACGTGCTACGCAGACAGGAGCAGCGGGCCGTGGCAGCCGACAGACGGAGGCAGCTGCGTGCGGGGTTCGGCCCCACCAGCTGCAGGGCTCCAGCTCTGTCTCCTCCTCCGTTTCACTCCATGATGCTGGACATCTTGGAGAGGAAGGAACCAAGCAATGGGCAGGTGTAACCACCCGGCGCTGCCGTTCGCAGCAGATGAGTCGGCTCTCCCGGGCTGGACAGGAACAATTGCTGAGTGAGCTTAGAGTCCTTCCTTTGGCCTGGCCCCTGCACACCTCTGTGTAACTCAGCGGTGGGCCACCCACGTGGGGCCCTCCTGGGGTCTGTGTGTGGCCCACGAGACCCTTTGTTTCCTGTTGCCCGTGTGCAGAACTGCCAGATTCTGCTGGTGTTTGTCCGTGTCGGGTTTTTCCTACCAGTATCACCGAAGTGACCCGCACGTACAGCCAGGGCACGTGAAGTGGGATGGGGGGGACAGTTGCACCCAACATTGCGAGAGCCGGGCGCCCCCTCTGCAGCCAGTCACAGCGCTGCTGCGGTTCCATCGGCACCCCGCGAATTCTAGGGACACAAGCACAGTTACCAAAACTACCCTGTCCCGGGAGACCGTCTTGGTTACGACAATCTGGCGGCCCCCTGAGACGGAGCAGGGCCGCTCGTGAGCCTCAGTTGCCCCTCTCCTGGTCTAACCCATCCCTCAGGGAATCAGGGATGACACCAGCCGAAGGAGAGGCGTTGTATGAACCCAAGCCCCGGGCTCGTGCGTATGTGTTCGCCAGCCCGTTCAGAGTGCAGCGCTGGGAGTGTGTCCAAGGAAGGCTGCCCTTGGCCGAGACACAGTGGGGCGGGGAGGGGGCAGACGGAGCCCATGTGGCGTGGGCTTCCCGCCGGGGGACTCTGCCTTTGTGAGAGAAGGCAGAGGTGATTCAGGGCCTTGGAAAACCATGGTTGTGGCAGCCGAGGGGAATCGCCAAAGGGATTTAGGCGCACAAGTGCTATTGAAAGTCAGTGCTACTCGGCGGATGCATCTCTTCCATGCTCCCAAAGGCCCTGATTCAGCAAAGCCCTGAAGCAAGTGCTGCAGCCGGCGTTCAGCGTGCGCGTCCCTGATCTGCCGAATTTCCCCACCTGGGCTCCGCACAGCTGCCACTGCAGTGACTTCCCAAGGCACGGAAACCCGCTTCGCTTTCCCCTCAGACGGTGGCCCTCAGAGCCGGGCAGCCCGGGGCCCTCCCGGGGACGTTTCCTTTGCAGCACTGTCAGCCTGGCCCTGGGCTTGTCCACTCTCCCCTGTGAGCGTCCACACTGCACCATAAATCCGGGCTCTCGATCGCTGGATCCGGATCTCCCAGCCTAACTATGCGTCCACACGGCAGCATGGCAGGGCTTGGACCAAATCTCAGCAGAAATCGAGCTCCGGCCCCCCGCCCCCAGCAGGGCCCTAAGCCTCCGGCCCCAGGTGCTGGCTGAACTGAGCCAAACTGGTTTGTGTGTGGACCGAAGTGCGGTTTGGGCTCAGATTTGTATCAGAGTCTGGGACCGGTAGGCAGGTAGGGTTGCCAGGTGACCGGTATTCACCTGGACAGTCCCGTATTTTCGCCTCCTGTCTGGTAAAAAAATTCAGAGAATACCAGACACCTGAGATGGCCAGTATTTTCTGAATTTTTCCCTGGCCAGGAGGTGAAAATGCCGGGCACCTGTCAACCCTACAAACACTCAGCGTCCAGCCACCTCTCCCTCCCACTGTCTTCCTCTGGCCCCCAACACCGCCAGCGCCCCGTCCCCAGCCCCCATGCTTACCTGGCT